ATGGAAGACGCGCCCACAGTGACCGAACCCATCCCTGAGAAGGAGGCGCCATCTGAAGAGAAATATCTGGAGACGACGGAGAAAAAGACGCGAGCAGTATCCCGCACAACGCAGACCGAAAGCCAGAAGGAGCCAGAGATCACAGAGGCAGAAATTACAAACTCCCTCCGCAAAGTCTTGAGCGACGTGAAGCTGGCCAAGTTGGATCGAAACTCGCTGAAGGAAATTGACGATTTACTATTTGATATCCGGGTGGAAACGCATGAGGCATTGAGGAGAAACACCGGTTGAATGGATTTTGCATAGCGATGGCGTTGTACTTTTGTCTATATCCTAGTATCAATATTTTATACTCCTTGCTTTTTTTTGTCTGTCTGTCTGACTGTTTTATTTTGTGACCATGGCCATCAAAAGAAGTCTCATTTGTTTTATGATCCTGTGCTTGATTTGCCATTGTTCTTTCGGTCCTAAGTTCTATTATAAGATGGACGATGCGGAAGCTGAATGTACTCATCACGCTTTGAAGACTGGAGAATGCAATTGTAATACCAGCATACCATAAACCTACATTCTATCCCAATCACTAGTCACTAGTCACTACTAGTTTCTATAACTAGTTAGTTAGTAGCTCAAGATGATTAATCCGCGAAATCCTTGGCCGCTGACAGGAGGACTAGTCACTCCGTCATCTCATCCTCACTGCCACACACTCATCCAGGAGGCTTACTACTACTTACCAACCGACCAACCAACCATGCTTATCCTCCGGGGCGTCAGTTGCGCCCCAAACCTCACAGGGGCCCCCTAAAACCCGAGCACATCAGCTAGCTAAATACTAACGTACCTACTTCATCTATCCATCAGAACTGAGTCTCTATCCTCAGCATGACCACACTAATGACCCAACCCTGAATCAAAGACTCAAAAGTCGTCAGTCAGACTGGCGTCATGGTCCCGAAGAAACGAGGAAAAGAGACCCGATAGCAAGTGGTGGTGTATTCACTAACGGAACTAACCTTCCAACACTTTGATTTTTGTTTTCTTATCGCGGGGTCTATGACTGCGCTATAGTGTACTTTATTTACTCACTCACTCAGCTCTCACTTTATCGGGATCATACTACTATCTACCTGGATAGATAGATAGGTAGTTTGTAGTGTGAGTATACACCTACCTACCTTATTTATTCATAAGATAGCTGGACTACTAACCAAGCGCAGCCTCCGAACAGCACTACATCATGGTCCAAGTATCCTCTCTAGCATTAGTAGGCTATCTCGCTCCAGTGCTCGTTACGTTTCTGCTCTTCATAACATGGTATGTATGTTTTTCCATACTTTATTTAGGGGATATACCACAAAGCTCCTCCATGCGATAAAGAAAGAACATGTTATCTAAATTAACATGAAATACAGGCTCATCCTCGGCACCCGCCGTCGCCGTCGCCGTCGCCGCCTTTACGGCCCTACATACCCCTACTCGGACGCCGAAATGGCGGCGGCGGCGGCGGCGGGGGGACAACGTAATCCCCGGATCGTGATCTCGCAGCAGCTTATCGAGGTACTTTATCCGCAGATGAAGTACAAGGACTGGTTGGCTGGGAAGCAGAGTGAGCAGCAGCAGGATCAATCATTGGGTGCGATAGCGCAAGTGAGATCCACGACTGGGACAAATACTTCCGGTGAATCACCAAACAACATCAACACCAACACCAACATCACCAACAACCAAGAAAGAGACAAAGATGCAGAAGATGCAGATACAAGCGGAGACAACCACCGCACGTGCGCAATATGCATAGACCAGTTCGCCGACGACGACGAGATCCGATCGTTACCGTGTCGACATATCTTCCATACGGTGTGTTTGGATCCGTGGGTTACGAAGAAGAATGCGTTTTGTCCGTTGTGTAAGAGGGCTTTGTGTGGGGTGAAGAAGGGGGTAAATGGGAGTGGAGGGGATAGGAGGAGTTGGCCTTGGAGGAGGGCATCGCTGAGGGCGAGTGCTAGGGTGGTTTCGGTTTCGGTGCCCGAGGCGGCGGTTGTTAGGGGGTCGGTTTAGTTCATATGTTGCTTTGGGCAATTGGGGTGGTGAGTGGCTTTGTCTGGAGATGATGGGGGGAAGGATAGGTCTTGGTGGAGAGGACATCATACAATACTGAACGTACGCGGAGTACGCAATATACAATACTAGGGTAACATTCTATTTCAATCTCAACTTAGGCATCCATGATCGTCACTGCATGATTATTCACGTAAAGTTAAACTTAACCTATTATCCCAGTTACAACCGGGGCCGGATAGTCTGTCCACCTTCCCAAGATTCACCCGCCTCTAGGGTCTGCCAGCCAGCAACGGAACCGGCCTCGACACAAAGCATGTTCTTGTATGCCTCGTCAGGACCAAAGTCCGCCATGCCCTTGGCCTTCTCGATCCAGGGGTTCCACACGACCACATCCGTCAATGCCTCCCTTGTGATAGAGAAGAGAGGCTGATCATCCGACGCCGTGGACACGATAATCGGCACCTTCGGATCCAACGCCTTGTACACCCGGTCCGTTTCCTTGTTGATCTCCACTGCCTCCGAGGTCTCCGTGATAGCTGCACCGCCCTGTGTCTTGTCCAAGTATTCTTTTTGCTGGAGGTTCTTGACCCGAACGTTCGTAATGTCCTGCATGCCTCGTTAGCCTGGATCCAGCGCTGCAATTTGGTTGTGACATACCTCAACGCTCAAATACGTGTGCATCAACACCTGGAAATCGAAATTCTGCTCGCCCTGGTTCTGCACCTGCAGAGAAGTCTCCAAGCTCCCCTTTGTCAGAGTCACGCTATACACAAGTCCAAACTTGTACGGCCAAGCCTTCTGGAACTCCTCGCTCAGCATAGGATGCGACAGTCCAAAGTCCAACTTCACGGCGTCTTCGCCTTCTTTCCGGTCGCGGCCGAAGGCTTCGGAGGAGGATTTGCCAAGGAATTCCCAGTTCGAGTTCCGGGCGAAGCCGTGTTGGGGGAGAGCAGAGGTAGCGTGGTTGGAGGGAGGAGGACCGAAGACCTGATTTGATGAGAAAAGGAGTTAGTAGTTTTGAATTTTGAAGGAGTCCTAGACTGGAGGTTATAGGAAACAAGCTGGCTGTTCAGTAGTCATTGACTTGTAAAGAACATACCGGGAATACGACAGGAATTCCACCCCGGATAGGCTTGGAACCATCTAGGTTAGCCTTCTCGCTCACGAAGAGCTGTTCCTTGCCATTGGCGAGCTTCCAGGAGGTGACGGTGGCTCCATAGAGATACACGGTGACGGACTCGCCGGTGGGGAGGGTAGCTTCAACGGTGTTGTCGCGGAGGGAGATGGTGGGTTGGGGAAGAGAGGCACCGACGCCGATGGCGGCAGGCTTGTTAGAGCGATCCATGATGGTGGGGTGGAAGTTAAGATGAAGGTATTCAAGGTGAACGAGAGAAGGGGAAAGAGCAGCAAAGACGGAGGATGGATGCGGGGAGGCCGGAGTCAACTGAACCGGCGGGGCGGCGGGGCATTGGCGTCATTCGTCCCTCGCCGTTTCAGTTTACGAGCACAACTCATCCCCTTCCATTTCTTATCTTCCTATTGTCGAGGTGCATGTTTCATAGCATCTGATGTGTCTCGACAATAGTTGGAGTCTTTTCGACTATTTTAGGATACTTTTGAAGTCCCAATTCAGCTGATCAATGCAATGACATCACAAGTTTTCTTTCCGTCAGGGTCCAAAGTCAATGCTAAGCTCGATCCAGGGACTTGAGCTGGTGCAGATCTATAAGTGCTAGCATTGATGTTCAACAATAGAGACATTGAGGAAGCTATGATATGTATGTGGCTATCCTGACATCTAAGTTTCTTTCAGTCCAGACTTCGTCTTTTATGATGGATATGGAACTATTGACCTTTACATTGAATAATAGGCATATTCCGAAGACTCGGAGTAGTATTATAATACCTCTTTGTTCACCTCCTGGTTTGAATTCATACATCAATGCACGTGGATACTCTTTGTAATTCCATCCTCTACCTGATCACAATAGTTATCATCAAAATACCATTACCTCCAAGTATGGTAGCTCGAATTGGAAGCAAGCCTATCCAATTCTATCTCTTCTCATGTTTTCCACCTTGTGTCCATCTCATAATTACTACCATTCTGTCGAATCATGGTGGACTTATACATAAATTCACTACTATAACGGTCATTAGTCACATTAAAATACATCTAATAGGACTAGTGCCGCTCACAAATGAACCAACGAAATACCGAACCTGAACTGAACACATACTATTTTAAGACAAAATCGCGAATCGAAGACACCTAACGACATACAATAGGTAGATGTCTTCTCACTAATAATTTAAGCCAACACTGACTGAATGTAGGCCATAGTACCAGTAATGATGCAGTACTCTTAGTATTCTATAGCCTCTTGTCAGACTTTGAATCCTTCGGGGGTGTTAGCGCAGCGTGGACAGACAGATAATTACTGCTCCAGGGAAATGAAAGCATGAAGTACGAGCTCATCATCTGGACTAATTATTCGACTAAGAATACACTCATTATAAAATATGATATTAAAATATGGTACCCTGAACACACAAAGAAAGAATACCTATGGAGCCACAAAGTAAAAAAGTACGATATTCGCCACCATACCCAACAAGGCAACCCAACCCAACCTACCCTACCAGTAGCACCGACAAACCATCCAGCCGACCAGCCAGTCAAACACCCTCAAAACCCACACATTCATTCCAGTGATTCCACACAAACCAAACCCCCCACTCCAGCAGAGAAAAAAAATTCATTTCATAAAGTCTCGTACCAGTAGCCCCATCTCCCAGAGATCCACTTTCCACCCTAAAAGTCCACAATACATGGTTCCCGAGCTGTCAAAAGAGCGAAAACGACCAACCAGCACCCACCATATAGGACTAAAATTGAGTGGGTGTTCTAACAACCGGCGCCAATCGTCTAGTGGTTAGGATGCAACCTTCCCAATCTGACATTGGATCAGGTTGCGACGCGAGTTCGAATCTCGCTTGGCGCAGTTTTTTACTTGTCTCTTTTTTCTTTTTAGGCTGTCATGGTAGATAGATTGGTGAAAGAAAGGATTTGGTTCATTTTTTTGATTGCTATTGTTATTTGTATATTATATGTATGGCCAGGCTGTTTTGGAAGTAATCTGACTTCAGTTTTATGGCTCTGCTCTAGCTTGTGGTGGTGCATTTTTTGTCACATATTATGTTTGAGAAAAGGGGTCTCTAGAATTGAATGTCAAATGCAGTGAGTGATTCATGCCACAGATCCTTGAGACAATCTTGCGACTTGCTTACACAGACCTACAACCATGACTGGGTGATGCACAAACCTCCTTTGTCAGAGCGATTTCCCAATATTGCACTACTATACACTGTATCGACATACACCAAAGCCATCGTCCTACACACCTCTACTACTAGTACCCTCCTCTCTATCTCCATCCCCCAACTCATCACCAACCTTAAATGGATTCCTCTTAACCAAAACCGCCGCCACAAACACACTCCCCGCCAACGCAACTGCCAACAAGAACGTGCCCCTGACTGCAACATCGTATGCTCCTATCACCGCCTCCAAGTACTTCCCAGGCAACTTACCCTCCAAGCTCGTTGCACCCAAATGGGTCACCATCACCGGATCCAACCCGGGCACACTCTCCGCTAAATCTCCCGTCAACCGGTTCAAGAATATCGCCTGTGCCACACTGATGAACACCGCTTCTCCGATGTCCTGCGAGAAAGTCATCAGTGCCATGCCTATGGAGATGTCCTTCATGGGGAGAATGGCCTGCACGGCGATGAAGGGCACGCCGACGGCGCTGCCGGAGCCGAGGCCTAGGAGGATGAGCGATGGGATCCAGAGCTTGGCAGGTGTGGTGAGGGTGAAGGTTGTCATGAGGGCGATGCCGGCGATGACGAGGAGAGAGGCGGGGAGGAGGATCGGGGTGTAGGTGCGTGTGCGGGAGATGAGCCAACCGCCGGTGATGGCGCTGATGAGGACGGAGATGACTAGGGGGAGGGTGTTGAGGCCGCTTTGGAGCGGGGTGGCGTTGCGGACGGTTTGGAACCAAATTGAGAGCTGGAGTTGGTTAGTTTGTGTCTAGAGGGTAGGGATGGAGATGGGGAGTGTACGTAGTATTGGACGATGGCGCGGCAGGCTGAGAGACACAGGCTGAAGGCCGCGCCGGTTATAATGATGCGTTTACGGAGGACGCGCGGTGGGAGCATGGCGGTGTCTTGTTTGCGGTGCTGGAGGAGACAGAAGCCCGTGAAGATGATGGGCGAGAGGACGAGAAGGGCGATGATCCGTCCGTTGGTCCAGCTGTAGGTATCGCCGCCCCATTGCAGCGCAAGGAGGAGGCATAGCACTGCGGGGGCGAAAAGGAAGAACCCGAGTAGGTCCAGCTCGTGGAGTTTCTGGATGTGTGTTTTTGAGCCCCTGGGGGTGATGGTCGGGAGCTTGAGAAGGAGAAGCACGGCGGATGGTAGGGCCGCGGCAGGCAGGTTAATGTAGAAACACCATCGCCAGGATAGGTTGGATGTAAGTATGCCTCCAAGAATAGGGGCTATGGCGATGGCAGTGTATTCGCTGGCACTGATTAGGCCGACAAACGTCGGTCGTCTTCGTAGAGGCGTAGAGATTGCAATGATGCTGGATGTTTGTTAGCTTGCAGACATGCCTCTAGGTACTGTAGTGCTTACACCATGCAGCCTTGACTGATCCCAGAAAAACCCAAGCCAGTTATGGCCCTTCCAATGATAAAGATGAATGAACTTGGCGCAAGGCCCGAGAGAAGGATGCCACCCTCAAACAGCAGTAGGTTGACGAGAAAGACCCATTTCACCGGGTAGTTGTCATATAGCTTTCCCTGAGAGAGCTGCGACATGCAGGAGGTGAGTCGACTTGGACGCCGTTAGCAGGGATATACAGGGTTACTGATCTGTAGGATAGACTCACAAAGCAGCATCATACCAACCAACATCAGCCACCGACCCGAACTCGTCGGTTATACGCGGAATAGCGGTGGTTAGGATCGTGGCATCCTATTATAACATTAACCAGCGCACGGGGATTTGCAAATAGTAGCACTTACCAGGCCAACCAAAAAGACACAGAAACAAAGGGACAGGGAAATGAGGACGAATTGGACCCCGTGGGGATAGATGGCCTCATCAAGCTCGGACTCGGCCTCAGGCTTAGCTTCATGATTCTGCCGGACGGTAGTGTCGCCGACTGAATCTCCCGGAACCTGCTGGGACTTCTGGAAATCCTCCCCAAGGTGTGTAGCTTCCGAGAGCTCAATGGCCTCAGGGCTTATTGCCATGCCGGGCAGGGGGCAGAGGGACTGAGGAAAATGAAGCTAGAAGCATGAGCGAAATTGCAGCGGGGAGGCCGGGTACTATATGAGAGAGATAAGAAACAATCAGGCAGAAGCTATCAGAATAGTAAATGATGGAGCATCCTGTAAAGCCGGAATTGTGCCAATCAGGAACGAGGAGTCGATGAGGTGATTGCCCCCCGGGCTGATGCGAGCTTAATGCAGGTAAGCCATTTAGTCCGATCCTTCTCAGTCTTGGCCAACTTCCTCACAAATTCTACTCTTGTGTGGATACCATTAGATGAGTAGATTACAGGATAACGACAAGCCGGGTAAGAACCCAAAGAAAGCGGTGGTTCATCATTCATTCATTATACATATATCGTCAGGGCCGATACGTTGGGAAGTACGGACTTCTTGCTCACTTTTGACCACACACAACGCCGGTACGCCGTGATGTGGCGTAGCTATCGAGAAAATAATATCGCACTATGTGATGCCCGCCAGCACAGTGCTTCCATCCGCATTGACAAACTGACAATCAAAAGGTGGAGGAGAAGGGAAACAATCTGGGTCCATAGCCCAGCGGCCGGGAAGTTGACTGCAGCCAGCAGAAGTAGAGGATAAGCAACCCAGGGATTGACTGCCAGAGGACTGCAGGGCTGGAAGGTGGAGACGACCTTGAGCAGGAATGCCGCCAGTTGCAACGCCACTGCAGGGATCTGGGAGTCGATGAGTGATGCAGCGCCCGGGAAGACTCTAGCCAGGGAGAAACGACCGGGAGGCGGGGGTAGTAACTGTTGGACAGGCTGCGGTCGCTCCTGGGGAACCTCGCGATGTTCGGCTTGTGCGGGAGAGTGCGATTGTGCGCTGGAGAACCAAGGCCGCACCATCATGTCGTTTTCCGGGCTGAGCGGGGTGTTTCGCTCTGACAACGGGCTTGTTTCTTCTACAACCGGCCTCGATGCAGCCTCAGCACCATCCGGCTCATACAGTGGATTTCGTCGTACAGCCACTGGACTCCGTGTCAGAGACTTGTTCGGAGAGCTGGATGGCCGGAAGGTTGGAGAATCCGTACTTTCCACCGGATGAATCCTCGCGCTTGGACGTATGTCAGGGCTTGTTGGACTGGTCCTTCTTGATCGAAAACTCTCGTTAACGTTGGCACCAGCCTGTAGGCCGCTCAGAACCTCGTCTGCAGACGGCCGCCCGTCAGGGTCCAAGGACAGTAGACGTTTTAAGAATGTGTAGAGCTGCCCAGGCAAATCCGGCCTGATAAACTGCGCATCGTCAAACCCAGCCCAATGGCTGATTTCCTCACGGAGCTGATCGAGGTCCTCTTTCTCCTCATGGATCAGGTCGGCGTGCGTGTAGGGCAACTGCGCAAAACAGAGGAAGTAGAGAATCATTCCCAAAGAGAAGATATCGGACTTGAAGGTGAAGTTCCCAAATGGACCCCCTGGATAATCTCGCCGTAGAACTTCCGGAGCGCAAAAGGAAACCGTCCCGGTCGCCCCAGTAGACCTCCGCATCGAGTCTTGCGCCTGAACCTCGCCAAAGTCGCTCACAAGCACTCGAATTCCATCACTGGTCTTGTGAAGCAAACAATTGTTTGGCTTCAGATCACGATGAATGTATCCATTAGCATGAAGGTAACGCAACCCCGAGGTGATGTCCTTGAAGAAAGAATAAATTTCCTCGAAGTTCAACTTGCGAAGGCCACCGGCTTCAGGCGGAGGTTCCGGCCCTCCTCGGGACTTTCTGCGCAGACGCTCCTTCAGCTGCTCAGTGGTTGTCGGAGTGTCAACCGAACCACAGATATAGTTATGCAGATCCCCAGCGTTACAATATTGCTGAAGAATAAACGCACAAGGCACACTGGGCCCGAACGTACTAATCTTCGCGTTCTCTAGCCACACATGTCGATATGAAACAAGATTTTGGTGTGTAAGATGCTGCAGCAATTGCACCTCAGCGAGCACCTTCTCTAGCCATTCATGATCGTCTCCAACGGGTACCCGCTTGCAGGCATACTGTCCGAGCGATACACCGTCCAGCACATGCTTTACCAGCAAAACCACTCCTTTCCCTCCCTTTCCCAAGACCGTCTCTTCCACGAAAAACTTCTTGAAGTAGTCCTGCGTAAAAGCGGCGGAAGAGATTCCTTGCGTAGAGTGTATGCCGCTACCCGAGTAGCTGGGCTCGCTGGTGGGACCGTCTGCAAGTGCGGGCGGCACCAGACGTCGACGGGGTGACGGAGGGCTCGATGAGCTCACAGAGCTGGGCAAGCTATTGTGAAGCATACGGAAATAGTGTGGGTTGATAAATTCCGGCTGCGTTCCGCCATGGTGGTCGTCCTGGGCTGAGCTGCTATCACGTAGGGGTCGATGGCAATACGGGCAGTCAGCGAGCTCCAGGTTGCCGTCATCACTTTCGGCTGCATGTCGAAGAACAAGTTGCTGGGAGTCTCGGTCGAAAACAACGACAGAGTCGTTATGGCGGCTTGTCAAGAAACATTGTCAGGATTATCTTCATAGTGGGCAAGTGTCTGGTGGGGAAGCCAGGCTCGGGGTGAGGGGAAGCTTGGAGCGGAAGCATACAGTACGACGTCAAGATTGCCTGACCCGTAGGGAACAATGGACATGCCTTCGTCCGCCATTATAGCAGGCAGAGCAGCCCATGCTTAGAGAACACAGAGAAATACAAGGCCGCAAAGCCATGAAGAAGGGGCCGATCTTAAGCAGTTGCTGGCATGTTCTGGCCGCTGCTGCGGAGACCGGATGACGAGAGTGAGGCTGGGCGCACGTGAGCGGCCCTGGCGGTGAAGCTGGAAAGTCGCCGCGTCGCGTCCAGAAATGCTTTTTACTCGTATATTCAACTACAATGTACGCGGATTACTATAAATGCATGAACATGGATGATTAGACGATCTCTCTCTTGATTTGATGCTATGCTTCTCAGCACTATGCGGGTATCTAAAAGTAAAAGCATTGGGGCCGAGGGATAGCTGGCTCGGATCCCGGTCTTTCCTGCATGGGTTGACATGTACTGGCAGGCAAGCTGTCCAGGTGGCATGTCAGCAAGGCCGTGTGAAACCAGGCCTGAACTGGATATGCTCGGTGGCGTTCCGACCTCCGATCCATCTGCATCGTCAAGGATGCCAGTGGGCCATACAGCTTTTGTCAGCGGCCCGATGATCGGTCGGGCATGGCGTGACTGTCGGTTCCGCTCCGGTTGAAAGGGCGACGACATGGGCCCAAGGTCAATGGGTTAGTGACGGGCGGATCGGCGATCCGCGAGGTGTTGAAAGTAATGCAGAGTAGATCTCCTGTTTAATCTTCCTCTGCTCCGCTCTCCTCGTCGCTAACCTCGAGATTGGCGATCGAGTCGTTATCATCATCTTCCTCGTCAAAGCCCTCGAACTCATCTCCCGAGCCAGACTCTTGCTTCTCAGCCGCTTCAGTGGTATCAGCAGCCTCAGGAGCGGTCTCATCAAGCTTCCGCTTGCGGCTCATTTCACCGAGGCGACCTTCACGACCTTCGATCTTCTCGCCCTCCTCGCCAGAGTTGTGAGGGGGAGCAGTGAACCAAGGGATCTTTCCACGGAGGAAATCGTTGATGACCATCTTGGCAACACCGTCGAGATCAGGCTCTCCACCACGGAGGAGGCGACCACCCTTGCGGGCGAGGAGACTGAGGAACTCGATGGGGTCGTCAGTGCGCTTGATACCGTAGGTACGCTCCAAATGCTTGGGCTGAACACGCTTGAGAATAGCTGGAATGTACTGCTCAGGGTTCTCTACGTTCTCCACACGGACGACACCACGGAGAAGAATATCCTCAGGAGAGTCATTCGGGTTTGGAGGAACAACACCAGGGCAATCGATGAGGTAGATCCTCTTCATCAAGGTAACGTACTGCCACACCTTGGTTTCACCCGGAATAGGAGCCACAGTGCACACCTTCTTCTTGCGCAAGGTGTTGATGACGGAAGACTTTCCAGTGTTGGGGTATCCAATGAATCCCACGGAGATCTGCTTCCGGTCCGAGTGCAAAGAAGAAAATTGCCTCAGTAGCTGGATCAACGAGCCCTTTCCGAAGGAATTGTTGATAGAAGCATGGAAAGCCAACGTAGGATAATCCTTAGAAAGGTGGCGAACCCAAGCAGCCTGGTGTCACGTTAGCAGCTGAACACCAGCGTTGCTATCAGAGTATAGCATAGTAAAAGAAGAAAACATATAAAGAAGAAAAGAAACAAAAGTATGATAACAGGATGTGTGAAATGTTACTAAGAGACCTGCTATGATGCCACTTCAAGAGCGGAAGCAGGACTCAACTCAAAAACAGAACACAGCTCGGTCCTTAACGATCGGCTTTCAAAACGAAAACCAATCAGCCTAGCTTCAGAAAGAAGGTCGGCGCGGACCAGCGTCAATCTGCCAAAGCTGTAACAGACAGTCTCCCATAGCGAATAGCGCGACATGAAGTCGCAGGAGGCGCCTTGACTTAGCGATGGCAACGGCGAAGGGCCGTATTGAAGATCAAGGGAAAAGGGGAAATTGCAATGAGAGAAAGAAAGCGAATATAGACTTACCGCCACACCTGTAGGTACGAGATCGCACTTGTTCAGGACGAAAATCAAGTGCTTGTGAGGAGCCTCCTCTCGGATGTACTTCTCAATACTCTTGCACCGTGTACCTTCCGGATCACGAGCATCAAGGAGATGGATGACAACATCGGAGGAATCGATAACCTTGTAGAGCTCGTTCCAGATACGCTTACTCTGTCCCTTAAGGAAGACAGCCTCCTTCGCGATGGGTGCGACACTAGAGTCTTCCTCTACTGCGACATCATCACCGTTCACCACCATAGTACCATCTTCATAAGTAGCATGGTCCGACTTCTCAACAAAGGCGTCGTGCATCTTGGCGGTCTCGCCAGCCAGATCCGTAAGCGACGAGACACCCAACTTGACACGTTTCCTCTGAGCCTTGGGCCCGAAGGTGTCACTGAAGGGGTTGGTCTCGATGGCCATCTTGGCCTGGTGCTGCTTCAGTCCATTCACACCCTTGTCATCTCTGATCAGGCTCATGGGAAGCTTGTTGGTCTTGAGCAAGACGGAATACGGATCAGAGGCACGCTCAGCGACCGCCTCACGGAAAGAGGACAGAGCCTCTTGCGAGATCACTCTGGTGTTTCCAAACCATTTACGGTTGGGTTCAATCCTAGCGACGGGGGCGTCTCGAGACTGGTACGAAGCAGCCTTGGTGATCTTTCCTTCAGCGTTACGTTGGGGTTTACCATCCTTGAGCATATTCAAGGTCCTCAACTTCTTCGCATCTCTTCCAGAAATCAGTACACATATCCATGACCATGTGTCGTAAGGAGAATACTAACCTGTAAAAGTTTTCACCCTTTACCCGGACGTTCCCCATGCCATCTCCAGTCTTCCCCTGCCGCTCTTTACGAGTGGCTTCCTTCTTAAAGGTACCCATTGTGCAGGTAAGCGCTCAAGGCACCTCAAAGAAGAATAATATGAAAAAAATATCAAAGATAAAGTGTCACAAAAAAGGAATGGCGGAGCGCAAAGAGGGAAGAGAAAGAAAGGAAAAAAGTTTCGAAGCGCGGGAAATTATTTTTTTCTCCAAAGGCGGGCGCCAAGCTAAGCGGTGCACGGACCAGGCGCAAGAAAATCGCTTCGTCCTCGTTCGACTCCCGCAATAGCACCGCGCAGGCCATCAGCCATCTCACCCTCCTGTGCTGGTCCTTGATCCGAAGTAGACCGGCTACCTGGTCTCTATCAATTCTTTTTCTTCCATCCACTAGTCACCAATTCTGCTCCACCGCTATCCTTGAGCAGACAGACACTGTTTACCATGTCTCTCTTCCGCAATTGCAGGGCTGCCACCGTGCAGTTCCGCGGCTTCACCTCATCCTCCTGTCTGCGGGTCGGCCCCGAGTCTCCCAACTTCGTCGACATCCCTCAACCCATTCAGCCCGATCTTCCTTCGAAGCCCCGCGTCAAGGGTACCCTGCCCGTCCCCCGAGAACTCTTCCCGGCCCGCCGCAAGGACAAGCCGACAGAGGCATACATCAATGCCGCGACGCCTCTTCCGACCAAGGAGACCAACTTGGACCCCAATGACCCCAACACCGAATACATTGAGTGGAAGAAGCGCATGGCGGAGATGAGACGCAAAAACCTCCGCGAAGGTCTCCTGGAACTACACACCCGGAAGCAGCGGACGGACAAGGCCATGATGCAGCGGAGTTTGGAGAAGCAGAAGCGTCGGGACCGTATCCTCCGCCAGCCTGAGAGAGAAGACCAGCGGTTGACCCGTAACTCCGTCATTCAGGACATGCTACCCAAACATACCGCCGTGCTGCCAGATCCTGACCGCGAGACCCGCCTGGCTGAGTCCAAGGCCCGCCTCGAGTACCAGCAGGCTGTGAAGGAGGCCGAGCGTCAAGACAACCTGCAAGAGCTGTACATGAATGCTCGGAACTTCATTACCACAGAGGCTCAGCTTCTGGCTGAGATTGAGCGAGTCTTCCCCGAGGGTGAGAACGAGGCCTGGCGCAGTGACCACCAGGAGGGCGAGAACATCTGGAACTTGGGTGTGCCCCCTACTGTCCAGGGTATTGTCAACGAGACCAGGAAGAGCGAGACCGCTCGCTGGGACGTCATCCAGAACAGAGTCAAGCAGCTGGGAGAGCAGATCACTGGTGGCAAGTTGTGAGCCCATGTATTTATTTAGACGGTTGTACATTACACTATTTTCTTTTTCCTAGTTCGGTTTTATTCATTCTGTTTTGTCATGCAATTTATTGGTTTGTACTAGCTTTACCTGTTTGTATACCTATTGTACCTGAACGAATTGAACATCTCAGTCATATAGCTTTTCCGGGTGCTCAAAAACTGTCACAAAACGCCATCGCTATGCAACACAAATGCCTGAACGCCGCAACCAACAATATAACGACCCAAATCCAGAAGCTCTATCAGCGGAGGAAATCAGAAATCATGACCATAGCTCACGAGCTGGCTTCTGGAGCGCCTGCACTTGAGACAGCCGCCAAGGCAGCACCTTCAGTAGCCACAGGTCTGGAAATACCCATCGTACTTGTAACCTCTCGCTTGGACACTTCCTCATCAATGAAGCACCCAAGACCTGCAAAGGCCTCCATCAGAGTACGCGAGTAGTATTCTTGAAGGTCGTATCCACCGGCCTGCATACGAGTGTCCTGGCGAATAGGGTCGAGGTAGCTGTTCGGGTAATGGTCGCGCAGAGTATAATAGTCCCTCTTGTTGGGAATGAGGCCACCAAAAGGATCGTAAGGCTTTTCAGGCTCGGGCGTCTTGATCTTCTTGAGACCCTTGATCAGACCAGAATCACCACTTTCATCTGCCCTGTCCGCCGTGGTGAGGGCACCCTGGCCGGCCTTCCTGGCATCGGAATTACGCAAAGCAGCTTGCTTTTGTCGGATGCGGTCTTCTTCACTACGACGAGCAGAAGATTTCTTGAGCAACACCTTGTGGCCTTCGCGGGCGATAGCCGCTGCGTCGCCAGGTCGACCTGCCGCAAGACGACTGAGGACATCTTCTCGACCGGCAAGCATTTCCTTCCGCTCATTCTCATATTCCAGTCTAGCTGCCTCTCGCCGAAGACGTGCCAGTTCTTGTTCGTGTGTCTGTTGCTCTCGGAA